AACGCCTGAGACCTGCGTCTCATCAGGATTTCCTGCCTCATAAACTTACATGCCGTGATATAACTGGAGTACTGTTCAATGCAATGTTCAAACCAGTTTTGTTAATCACCCACTTTGCAGCAGTTAAGAACACCGTGTATTGTACTGACTTTCTCCTTGCAGGTTGTTCGCTGAGTTCAAGGGTTCCAGTGTGGAGGTTGCCTTCAGCAAAGATTCCCAGAGCATTCAGGGGGGCAGGCCTCAAAGTCACACGGAAAGGAAACAGACTTGATGTATTCAATGCATGATGAGATGAGGCCGTTGTGACAACTTAATCACCTAATCCATAATTTATACAACAATGAACAACTGGTGATCTGGCACTGATGATTCCATGACCTGAGGATCCATCCTAACATTGGCACAAACACCATCGTTTGCAACAGGTTCCCATGTGTGATAACGTGTGTATTGGTTGGCACCAGCCTGGAGTGCCTTGTCGCTACGGAACATACAAATACATATGTATGCTTGATGGAGCTAGGTCAAGGGTCACATAGCACATGTCAAAACAGAATGAATTTAATAGCACCATATCTACGCAATGTGAGAAATATCATGGATGAATCCCTGAGCAGGATATGCAATCAAGGGAGATAACTCAACCTGGTGCCAGGAAACAGACTGCTATTATGGAAGATAATCAGACTGTGTGATTTTATATGATTCAACACTTGTTTTTTCCATCTCGTTAAGTGTTTTTGCTGTGAAGATGTCTTTTATACAAGATTACAGTATTTATATTTAAGCTAGTGGGACCAGAAGGTAGTGACGTGAGAAGAGAATGAATGTACAGTTGTTTGCCCTCAGATGATGTCTGGTGTAGAGTACTGGAGGGGCCAGTTCTGCTTCAGTGGGTAGTCAAGCAGTGAATAGTGAATGGGAAAGCTTCACAGGACTAAGGGTGCTTCAGGGACCAACTGTGCTTGATCAGGTAATCATTCCTGTAACAGTGTAACTTACTGTAAGATTGTACACTTGCAGTACAGGGTGGGAAGGGAGGCTTGTAACAGTGTAAGATTGTACACTTGCAGTACAGGGCGGGAAGGGAGGCTTGTAACAGTGTAAGATTGTACACTTGCAGTACAGGGTGGGAAGGGAGGCTTGTAACAGCGTAAGATTGTACACTTGCAGTACAGGGCAGGAAGGGTGTAGGCTTGTAACAGTGTAGGTACACTTGCAGTACAGGGTGGACAGGGAGGCTTGTAACAGCGTAAGATTGTACACTTGCAGTACAGGGTGGGAGGGAGGCTTGTAACAGCGTAAGATTGTACACTTGCAGTAAGGGAGGCTTGTAACAGCGTAAGATTGTACACTTGCAGTACAGGGTGGGAAGGGAGGCTTGTAACAGTGTAAGATTGTACACTTGCAGTACAGGGCGGGAAGGGAGGCTTGTAACAGCGTAAGATTGTACACTTGCAGTACAGGGTGGGAAGGGAGGCTTGTAACAGTGTAAGATTGTACACTTGCAGTACAGGGTGGGAAGGGAGGCTTGTAACAGTGTAAGATTGTACACTTGCAGTACAGGGTGGGAAGGGAGGCTTGTAACAGTGTAAGATTGTACACTTGCAGTACAGGGTGGGAAGGGAGGCTTGTAACAGTAAGATTGTACACTTGATTGGGTACACTTGTAACAGTGTAAGAGTGTACACAGTACAGGGTGGGAAGGGAGGCTTGTAACAGTGTAAGATTGTACACTTGCAGTACAGGGCAGGAAGGGAGGCTTGTAACAGTGTAAGATTGTACACTTGCAGTACAGGGCAGGGGGAAGGGAGGCTTGTAACAGTGTAAGATTGTACACTTGCAGTACAGGGCGGGAAGGGAGGCTTGTAACAGTGTAAGATTGTACACTTGCAGTACAGGGTGGGAAGGGAGGCTTGTAACAGTGTAAGATTGTACACTTGCAGTACAGGGTGGGAAGGGAGGCTTGTAACAGTGTAGGATTGTACACTTGCAGTACTTCTAACAGTGTAGGATTGGGACAGTAGATTGTACACTTGCAGTACAGGGTGGGAAGGGAGGCTTGTAACAGCGTAAGATTGTATACACTTGCAGTACAGGGTGGGAAGGGAGGCTTGTAACAGCGTAAGATTGTACACTTGCAGTACAGGGTGGGAAGGGGAGGCTTGTAACAGTGTAAGATTGTACACTTGCAGTACAGGGTGGGAAGGGAGGCTTGTAACAGTGTAAGATTGTACACTTGCAGTACAGGGCGGGAAGGGAGGCTTGTAACAGTGTAGGATTGTACACTTGCAGTACAGGGTGGGAAGGGAGGCTTGTAACAGTGTAAGATTGTACACTTGCAGTACAGGGTGGGAGGGATGCATCAGACATAGACAGTCTTTCTCAGATCGGGGATAGTGTTAAGTTGAATTTAGGTGGAATACTGACTGTCAGATAGTTGCTTGTCTCTCTTGTGTGAAGGTGGTCGAGGAACATATTGAGGGAAGGGACAAGTGGTGACTCCCCAGTACCTCACAACACACCCCTGTCACTGTAGTGAAGTTGTGAGCAAATATGTCCTGAATGTTCAGCTGTCAGTGGACATGGCAAGTGTGACTGACCACGGATCATTGAGAAGATGTTAATGATAGCTCACCTTTCATCTGAATGTTTGTAGGGGACCAGAAATGATATTTAGCATATCAGAACATACATGCCAAATACAGATATTTTACATTTCTGTTAGTTCCATGTTTGACAAAACCAGTAAGTTTGCCTTGGTCTGAGTATCTTCCAAACAGTGATGTTATTTTAGCTTTAAGCATGGATCCATGCAGTGCACAAGTTGTTGACCAGACTTTCTACACATGTTGTCATGTTGTTATACTTTGTATACATTGATGTCAATACCAATATGCAATATGTTTGTTTCAGTGATATATGATATGACAATGTTTCCATATCATACAATGTTGCACTGTTATTACTGAGTGTAGGTGATAACTCCCAATACACAGAGCATATGGTGAGACACTCGTGCCATATTTTCTTGTAAATCATCAGGTCTAGTGATACTTCATCGCAAAATTAATATGTTAATTAACCAAGATAGTTATTCCTTTTCCTTCACGCTAAGCGATATGATGTATTTTTTGACTGAGCACTATACACAATAAAGCAGTTTGCCTAGAGCTTCTACCTACGAATGGGGTGGGTGCATTATACTCAGGTGCGCTCTATACACAGGAAAATATGGTACATGTCTGGCCAGCTGGTTGTGGCAGTATGAGCTAAATGTACATTGTAAATCCATTCCATTACCAGAGACACAAGAATGACACTGTTATGTGCCTGTCATGACGCCTACATTAAAGCATGTTCAGCTTGACCTGATTCAGTGAATACCAATGCATTGCGTGACCGTGTCTATTAGTGTGAAGGGGTGCACCTTTGTCAGTTGATTGTCAACATGTCCGAACAGGTCGCTGTTTGACATCTCAGTGTTGAGAAATCGTCAGCAATGTCCTAACTTTCTTTAAAAAAGTGTTGTTTTCCGGGACAAGTTCTGTAACGAATTCCATTCATGCATGGAACATTAATAACATTCTCTGCTCTCCTATTTAATGAAGATAGCCCAACCTGCCGTTTGTGCCATTTGACCTCCTGGGTCATGCATATGTAGAGTAGCTCAGGTCAAGCTGAACAAGCTGTACCTATCTATGTCAACCCCCATGACAGAATGAACACAGTGGTGAATGTAGGTCACAGTGGAGAATGTAGGTCACCTCTTTAGTTGATTACTATTGCTTAATGAATAGGGTAAGAAAGTTGTTGGTGTTGTGATTTATACTCTCAGTGGAGCTGGGCAAGAATGTGAAATTACACTGATCTGGGACAGGAGCCAAGTTCCTCAAAAGAAAGACCGAACCATCATTTTCGTTTACCAGATTATGCAAACTTCAGGGCAGTGTAATTCAGCAGTCTGCAATAAGGGACCTAGGCACCATTCTCACAAAGCAATCTAAGATTTAGGATGATTTAAACTCATGCTTTCACATAGACTTATTCTAGTTGTAGATTGCTTTGTGAGCCGTTCCACAACGTGATCTTAGTGCTACAGTGTTCATAAGCCAGTGTCGAAGAATGGGCGTTAAGGTCACCTTAGCACTAAGGTCCCTGGAACTTGGAAGCAGTGGGTGATAATGTGAACATGTTCACCCCAATAAACGACACACACCCAGTCAGGCAACCGTGCCACAGCTACGTCTCTGTCATAGAGAAGTGTGTACTGCAGCCGAGACAGAGCGTTTATGACTAGTCACAACCTTTCTGAGGAATTTGTTTCAACTCTTCACCAGGATACATATACAGAGGTGATGTGAAATTAGGAAACCTTTTAGAGGTGTTGCATGAGATGTTGCATTTATTGTGTGACCTTCACATGTTTCATGTGATGGATGACCTTCACATGTGTTGTGTAACCTTCATATGATTCATGTGTCAGATGACCTTCACATGTATTGCGTGACCTTCATATGATTCATGTGTATTATGACCTTCACCTGTATTGAGTGACCTTTATATGATTCATGTGTCAGATGACCTTCACATGTGTCATGAGTATGAAATGTTCCAGTCAATATATAAAGCTAACTCTGATATGAGTAGATTATTTAGGAGCCTTGAATGTTGTTGCCCATAATCTTTCCTCTGGCAGAGATGCCACAGTCACCAGTCTTCACAGGATAGCTACCACTATTGGTGGTCCTGTATACAGCAAGCTTTATGAATTCTTGAAAATTCATTCAGGAGGAAAAACTGTATTTTTCACATTCACCTGTTTTTAGAAATATGTTTAAGGTCATCATCATCAACTGAACCTGTGACAAGTGCAGATGTACCCAATTGAGAACATGGCTTCATCTATAAACCTAATTATCTAGGTTCATGTTGCAACCAACATCTCAAGCTTCCCAATTAAAATCACACATGCATAGACTCACTATCACCAACTTATTGTTTAATTTTGTTGCCAACAAATTGCTATTACTAGATGCAGCTGTGACTTTGCCAATGATTGGTCTGGCATCTCTGGCCATTATTATTTAACTATGCATATATCTATATATGTTGCTTGTTATAGTTAGTGAGATATTTATTTTTGTCCCAGTGTTACCATGTTGATCTGTGCTGACTGTAGTGCTTGGTGGAGTGTCTCCTTGCATGTGTACATATACACAGTAGTACCTTTCATGTTACCTTGACAGGTACGGAATATCAATACAAAATTACCAGATCTCAATACATAGAAAAGACAAAATTGGTTATTGTCCTTTGAATATTTTCAGCCCCCTTTTAACACTCTCAATGGATATGAGGGATTACCATGTATATAGCTTAAAATCTGCAATATTTTAGCTTTTTCACTGTGATTGTTGTTAATAATTGTATATAGGGATGCATTTCTAGATGGCGACAATATCACCAGCTTCAAAGTGACAGTTCAATGCATTGTCTGATCAGCTACAGTTTGACAGTTCAATGCATTGTCTGATCAGCTACAGTGTAACAGTTTCAATGCATTGTCCTGTTGGTTACAGTTTTACAGTATCAATGCATTGTCCCATCAGCTACAGTTTGACAGTTTCAATGCATTGTCTGATCAGCTACAGTTTGACAGTTTCAATCCATTCTCTGATCAGCTACAGTTTGACAGTTTCAATGCATTGTCCCATCAGCTACTATTTGACAGTTTCAATGCATTGTCCCATCAGCTACAGTTTGACAGTTTCAATGCATTCTCTGATCAGCTACAGTTTGACAGTTCAGTGCATTGTTCCATCAGCTACAGTTTGACAGTTTCAATGCATTGTCCCATCAGCTACAGTTTGACAGTTTCAATGCATTCTCTGATCAGCTACAGTTTGACAGTTTCAATGCATTGTCTGATCAGCTACAGTTTGACAGTTCAATGCATTGTCCCATCAGCTACAGTTTGACAGTTTCAATGCATTGTCAGATCAGCTACAGTTTGACAGTTTCAACGCATTCTCTAATCAGCTACAGTTTGACAGTTCAATGCATTGTCCCATCAGCTACAGTTTGACAGTTTCAATGCACTGTCCCATCAGCTACAGTTTGACAGTTCAATGCATTGTCCTGTTGGCTACAGTGTGACAGTTCAGTGCATTGTCTGATCAGCTGCAGTTTGACAGTTCAATGCATTGTCTGATCAGCTACAGTGTGACAGCTTAATGCATTGTCCTGTTGGCTACAGTTTGACAGTTCAGTGCACTGTCCAATCAGCTACAGTTTGACAGTTTCAATGCATTGTCCACTAAGCTACAGTTTGACAGTTTCAATGCATTGTCTGATCAGCTACAGTGTGACAGTCAAATGCATTGTTGATCAATTTCACTGTGGCAGTCTACTCCAGGCCAGTTCGAGTTTCTAACTAATGTAAGCAGTCACGTAAGTATCACCAAATCAAACGTGCTTGTTTGTTTCAATGCCAGGCTTGTTGGAGCAGTACTTGACTTTCATTTTGGTTTGTTTCTGAAGCTGTATTTTGCTTCCAAATCTATCTTATTTTGGAGAATACTTTTTATACCACTGATGACTGTTATATTATTTTAGGTCATTCTTTACCATGTGAGAAATCAAAACATCATTGCTGAGTGCCAGTGTTGCAGTTCTAATCTGGTGCGTGTGAAGTTCCATAGTGAAGTTCCTTGTCACTGTAGATAGATTCTGATATGTTGATGCAATAAGTTGTATGATGTGACAAATGTTAGGGCTTGGATGCAGTGTTCTCAAAATCTGGTGCAGGTTGGACTTAGTAAACAGCAGCTATCATAACAACCCAGTTTTTGTTGCTGTATCTGAAATGTATTAAAGGGGCACTACTCCCTGTCATACCCTTCTTACTCTCTCTCTGCATTGTCCGGTTCCTGCAAGATGGTATATGGACGTATATCCGACACGGCATGTTCCACTGTGCTAATCAGACAGTATATACATGTGAAGGCTTATACAGTATAATGTGTGTATTGTGTGATTCTGAGAGTGAGTGAAATCATTTGCTAAATGATAAATATTGCTATTATTATTATTATGATTATTACTCTTGATCTTGACACAAACTGTCTCAAGCAGGGAGTGGCACTGATCAGGCAGTTCTGAGCTGCATGCTGTCGACTCAGATTCGGTTAATCTATCAATCTCGTTATTTTGATTTTCATCTTGACCAATGTGTTGTATATTTTATACTAGCTGAATGTTGTGGCTATATAATATATACCAGGAAACATTTTAGTTAACCAGAATAAACATGCTGGACAAGTACAAATTTCAGTTGTTTTCTCTTCATTCTCAGGGAACATTTCAGTCACATTGCTTTGAGGCTCCATAATTTACTATAAAGAGTTACTTCCCTTAGCCACATGAGAATGCATGGGCTCAAATAAAATAATTAGACATGCATTGTCTGATCAGCTACAGTGTGACCAGAGACCATATATTAATCTATTATATGGTCTCTGGTGTGACAGTCATATGCATTGTTGATCAAGTCCACTGTGGAAGTCTACTCCAGGCCAGTTAGAGATGTAAGCAGTCAAATAATTATCACCAAATCAAACGTGCTTGTTTGTTTCAGTGCCAGGCTTGTTGTTGGAGCGGTACTCATTTTGGTTTGTTTCTGAAGCTGTATTTTGCATCAAAATCTATCAACTGTTCATGTGCTTGGGCTTTTCATCAAAGCAGTAAATGTGTTATGCATCAGGCACTCCTGCCTCATGGCTGTGACACACTCAGGGGCGTACCCAGGAAAGTAATGAAGTGTAGGCACACACACACACACATTCACATTAAAGGGTTGCTCCAGATAGCATTCCCTGCTATATTCGTCTGAAAAAGAATTATTTCCAACTTTTCATAAAAATATGTCTTCATGGGGAACTTATTGAAACTGAACTGATATTTAGTATTCTATCACATAGTTTATTACGTATTTAAGCAAAGACAAAATAGCTATTTCAGCAAAAGTCGTTATTCTATTTGGCCATAAAATGTTATGTACCAGCTGATGTACGTTTCGTCAAAATATTAGAAAAAAGCATAGAAAGGGAGACTACTCTCGAACAAAATAGATCCATAACATCCCACATGTGAAACAAATTACCGAAAGCATTAAGTGCAGGCGACCGCCTCCGTGGTGTAATGGTTAGAGCGGAAGGTCGCGAGTTCGATCCCCGACCGCGTCATACCAAAAGACGTTAAAATATGGTACTTGTTGGTCCCTGCCTGGCTCTCGGCATTAAAGGGTACAACAAGGACTGGTCGGCTCGGAGTCAGTATAATGTGTCTGAGTGGGGTATTCATGCTTCACTGCGGCATGCTATCTCAGTGGGCTAGCACTATAAAACCTGCTTAAGTCTGGGCTAGTACAAGCAGTCGCACATACAGATACACACGCATGCACGTCGTCATATGAGCGAAATATTCTCAAGCACGACGTAAAACCCAATTCCACCCATTGAGTGCAGGCACGTGCCTAAAGTGCCCAATGGCAGGTACGCTACTGACACTGTCATGTGAGGGAAATACACATGGTAGTAAATCAAACTCACTCAGTGTCTAGTGTAATAGGGGCGGTGGGGTAGCCGAGTGGTTAAAGCGTTCCCTTGTTATTAAGAAGACCCGGGTTCAATTCCCCACGTGGGTACAATGTCTGAAGCCCATTTATGGTGTCCCCCGGTTGATATTGAAGGAATGTTGCTAAAAGTGGCGTAAAACTAAACTCACTCACTCACTGAAATACCAGTCTGGTCAGGTAGTGAAATACCAGTGTTTGACGATGGTCAGGTAGCCTTGTTGGTTATACTTGTGTGAACGAATCCATTTATAATTCGCAATATAGTAGAATTGTAATCCAGGTCGTATAGTGAGATCCTATGTCATTACATATTGGTACCCCTGAATATCCTGGATAGATTTGATCTTCATATACCCATGTTTCCATGTTTGTCATGAAGGTCAATTTGAGGTTTTATTACACTTTCTTTGTGCAAGTAAGGTTAAATCTCATTACATATTAGTCATGTAGAGGGTGTCTGTCTAAGGCGCCACGCTCGAAAGCGAAAGGTGCCTGGATCGATCCCCACTTGTGACTGGGTGTAAAACCTTGCTAACATTACTAAGGCTCATTACTTGTCTCAACCCCTAGTCTGCAGTAGACAACCCTGAGCACTTAAAAGAACACACTCATCCGATGGTAGGTGACCATATGGTGGACACACGAACACGTGCAGACACGGAGATACCTAGTTATTGGTATAGTAACGTGCAGTATCATTGGACAAAATACTGTGTATTACCCAGCAGCAAATGGGTACCTTGTGAGGATGAGGAAATGGATAACTCGCTGCATGAGTTGAATACTCCCCAGGGAGTTGAGTTGGCTAAAAAGCAAGGGAAGACTCCAGCGCCTTGGACATGTACTAGTTGCATGGGTATGTCACTATGTTCGCTATATGCTGATCCTTTGCAAGACATGCTTCTGGTAAAAGGCTACTAACGGGATCGGATGGTCAGGCTCGCTGACTTAATTGACACAACTCCCCTGTTTTGGACATCTTACTGACACCCTTAGTTTGTCATGCAACACGACATCGCCTGAGCTCGCCACACACAAGTCAGTCCTCACCTCTATCAGCACAGAATCCGAAGACATGACAGGGTGCCGCATGCGTCGTAGGCCGCCACCGACCACGTTAGTGGAACTCGGCCAAGCACTGCAAGAGGAGTGAGACAGATTTCCTCACATCGCCAAGAGGGGACGCATGCGCAGTATGACTCACTGTGTGAATGAATACTTGACAAATCTTGGCGCTGTCAAGCACATCAACTTGCAACTTCCCATCTGGGCCCAAACGCCTCATTGGCGGTCACAATATCTAATGTCAGACTTACTTGCCGATGGTAGTGTTGTCTAATCCGTACTCTGACATTATGCAACTGTTATTGGAAACCTATATCAGTCAGTACAGAGTAAATATAGTTTGTTGTTTAGATTGGGAGCCGACCCGATTGTTGAAATTGCGCATGATGCAAATGGCATGCCGTCTTTGGCTGCTTGTTTCAGTTTGGGTCATTTTCAGTTTCACCTGTCATTTTTGTCTAAGTTATTTCCTCTTTTTATGGATAATTGTCTTAAATGCATAATTTGTGATCAAGTATTCCATAAAATATTCAAGTCAGCGAATTTGCTTTGTTGAGTACACGTGCACCTATGACCTTTATGTTCTTCATGACTGCATGTTTAACCAATAACACACTCGGTGCAATGCACTTGTAACGCACCTGTATCCCGTGAAATGCACATGTAAACATTAGGACACTCATGTGTCACACTTATAAAAACGTGTCATAGAAGTAAGAGTCCATGTATTTATATAAGAAACTTTATTCTTGATAAATTCGTTTAACAAGCATTCACGTTGTCTACCGGCACCTTCAGAGAGCGTGTCCCTGAAAACAGAAAGAGATTGAAATAGACTTATCTCAAGTTAAGCGTGATAGCTTGGCATTACACTGCCATCGACTGATGATGTTAAGATCCATGCCAAAGTCGGATGTCGGGATGATACCTGGTTCTAGTCTGACGGTATGACGATAACTGGTTCTAGTCTGAAGGTATGACGATACCTGATTCTAGTCTGACGATACCTGATTCTAGTCTGACGGTATGACGAAACATGGTTCTGGACTGATGATACCTGGTTCTAATTTGATGGTATCACGATACCTGGTTCTAGTCTGATGGTATGACGATACCTGGTTCTAGTCTGATGATACCTGGTTCTATGATGGTATAACGATACCTGGTTCTAGTCTGACGGTATGACGATACCTGGTTCTAGTCTGATGGTATGACGATCTGGTTCTAGTCTGATGGTATGACGATACCTGGTTCTAGTCTGACGGTATGGTGATACCTGGTTCTAGTCTGACGGTATGACGATACCTGGTTCTAGTCTGATGGTATGACGATACCTGGTTCTAGTCTGATGGTATGGCGATACCTGGTTCTAGTCTGATGATATCACGATACCTGGTTCTAGTCTGACAATACATGGTTCAAGTCTGATGATATGGCGATACATGGTTCTAGTCTGACGATATGACGAAATGTTCTGGACTGATGATATCTGGTTCTAGTCTGACGGTATGGCGATACCTGGTTCTAGTCTGACGGTATGGCGATACATGGTTCTAGTCTGATATGATTATGATCTGATACCTGGTCTGATGGTATGACGAAACATGGTTCTAGTCTGACGGTATGATGATACCTGGTTCTAGTCTGACGGTATGGCGATACCTGGTTCTAGTCTGACGGTATGACGATACCTGGTTCTAGTCTGACGGTATGACGATACCTGGTTCTAGTCTGATGGTATGACGATACCTGGTTCTAGTCTGACGGTATGGCGATGCATGGTTCTAGTCTGACGATGCATGGTTATAGTCTGACGATACCTGGCTCTAGTCTGACGGTATGACGATACATGGTTCTAGTCTGACGGTATGAAGATACCTGGTTCTAGTCTCACGGTATGGCGATGGATGGTTCTAGTCTGACGATACCTGGTTCTAGTCTGACGGTATGACGATACCTGGTTCTAGTCTGACGGTATGACGATGCATGGTTCTAGTCTGACGGTATGGCGATGCATGGTTCTAGTCTGAGTATGACGATGCATGGTTCTAGTCTGACGGTATGACGATACCTGGTTCTTAGTCTGACGGTATGACGATACATGGTTCTAGTCTGACGGTATGGCGATACATGGTTCTAGTCTGACGGTATGGCGATGCATGGTTCTAGTCTGACGGTATGATACATGGTTCTAGTCTGACGATGACGATGGTTTCTAGTCTGACGGTCTGGTTCTGACGACGATGCATGGATTCTAGGTCTGACGACGGTATGACGATGCATGGTTCTCTGACGGTCTGACGGTATGGTTCTAGTCTGACGATACATGGTTCTAGTCTGACGGTATGACGATACCTGGTTCTAGTCTGACGGTATGACGATACCTGGTTCTAGTCTGACGGTATGGCGATACATGGTTCTAGTCTGACGATGCATGGTTCTAGTCTGACGATGACGACCTGGTTCTAGTCTGACGGTATGACGATGCATGGTTCTAGTCTGACGGTATGACGATACATGGTTCTAGTCTGACGATGCATGGTTCTAGTCTGACGATACCTGGTTCTAGTCTGACGGTATGACGATACATGGTTCTAGTCTGACGATGCATGGTTCTAGTCTGACGATATGGTTCTAGTCTGACGATGCATGGTTCTAGTCTGACGATATGACGATACCTGGTTCTAGTCTGACGATATGGTTCTAGTCTGACGATACATGGTTCTAGTCTGACGATATGCATGGTTCTTCTGAGTCTGACGATGCATGGTTCTAGTCTGACGATGCATGGTTCTACTGACGGTCTGACGATACCTGGTTCTAGTCTGACGATGGTTTCTAGTCTGACGGTATGACGATACCTGGTTCTAGTCTGACGGTCTGGTTCTGACGGTCTGACGATGCATGGTTCTAGTCTGACGATGACATGGTTCTGGTGCCTGGTTCTAGTCTGACGATACCTGGTTCTAGTCTCCTGGTTCTAGTCTGACGGTATGGCGATACATGGTTCTAGTCTGACGATGCATGGTTCTAGTATTATTCGTTATTCGCAGCGTTTGGCAGTGGTGAGAAGTAAGCAGAACACCTACCAAGGCTTTCCATCCTAGCTGGTATCACATTCGCACTGGCCGAGGAAGCCACTGGTAATACACATTTGGGGTACCATTGCATCCGGGGCACTCAAGCGCGCAGATCCTGTCCTCGACACACACAGTGATGATGCCACACCCAGTCTGGGCTTCTGAAACCGACAGCAGTTGACGTAAGGGGTCACACAAATGATCAACACTCCCTCTTATTCCAGCCCTGCCTGCTCAATCACGGCCGACACTGTTTGTATTCAATAAATATCTTAATAAAATAAACGAATACGTGTGTTGCTACAGCAACGGACACGCAGGCATTTCTATAAATGTTTCGCTTGCTTTAAAAGACAAATAATTAAATCTTGACCTTTCGAAGCTTGCATAAAGAACTTAATAGGTTAAGAAAGGATAGGTTAGGTCTTAAAAGTCTTTTAGATTAGTTGCAGAAATCTTGGAAATATTGTTAAAATAATTACAAATCAATTACACCTAATAAACTATTTTAATTTCCATGATGAGTGGAAAAGGATGAATTTATCTATACTAAAAGGGAAACATATACACATGAGGATTAATTAGGCACCACCTGAATACAAGGGCAACATTATATATTTCTGTTCAAACAGGCGATGATACACTCGGATATTGTATCTTAAATACTATTGGTAGCACGTTCAGGTGATGCAAAGGAGTCCAGCACCTTGGGGTAAACATTTCATATCTGCGGTGCGTGCACAATAGGTTTTTAACTGATTCAAAGGACGACAGATCTTATTAACTTTACATAATATGGCAAGACATGACCATTTTTAGATGGTAAATAATACTGCTCCTGGAAAATTGTTATAAAAGAATATATTTCTTAGACCATCGGTATATTTTCAGGTATTTACGTAAAACCTATTGACACTGTTTAAGACACGGGTACTTTCTCAGAAAGTTAATTAACCGGGCCAATAACGCCAATATATAAACAAACACTTGACCCAAATTTACCAGATTATTATAGACATATTACACTTTTTAGTAGTTTTGGAATAGCTATTTTAACCAATCGCCCCACAAAATTCTTAGACTCTATTACAATATTATATGAAGCACAAGTCAGAAAAAGGCTATTCTTCAATGGATCACATGGGGTAAACAACGAAAAAGGCACTGGATTACGATCTGATGAATTTAACAAACGATTTGATTATATGATGAATGTATTTGTTTTGTTATATGCCGACGACACTGATATACTAGCATTAAATCCAAATGATTGACAACACATGCTTTGACAAATATTGTAAAACATGGAAACTTGATATAAATGTATCTTTCCAAAACAGATATATTTGGTGGTTCCAGAAACGATTACAAATACTGTTTCAAAATTGGAAATCCTTTTACAGAAAAAGTATCTTCTTATAAATACCTAGGAATTACTATATAAAGAAATATCATATTTGCTTTAAATGAAAAGAATTTAGCTGACAAGACAACCAAAGCTAAGTATTTTGTTTTAAGCAAAGGTATAGATTACCCAATTTGTCTTGTGAGCGTAAGTTTATGCGATTGATTGGTTGTTCCTGTCGTTCTTTATGGGTGTGAATTATGGAGTTTCGGTAACAAGACTAAGTCTCAGGCAGAAATGATCTATTTACGATTTCTTAAGGAACTTCTCTCGTTAATAAATATTATTGTTTTTCTAAGTTTTCTCTCCTGATGTAAACAATACTCTATAGTGACAGTATGAAACATCTAGCCGTCAATGGATTGCTTGAGTACTGTTGACGAAAATGGAATGTTAGAGCCACACAGGTATGATATAAGTTTTTGTCTTTAAATTTTTAAAATTCAAATAATTTCCTTCAGTTGAAAAATGACGATGGAATAAAAACTTCCACAAGAGGTTATACTCTCCTTTTAATTCAAGCGATATCGGGGATGAATTGAACTTTTTATTTTCATGAAAATAATAACGCACGAGTGAAATATTCTTCATTTAATTGGATAAATGTATGTACACGTATAAGATATTCTTGCAACCAGTCCGCCATGATATTGCTGGAATATTGCTAAAAGCAGCGTAAAACCCAACTCAATCACTCACTCTTGCAACCAATAGATATGTATATATGACCATGTTATGTATCTTACATGTATGTAACACGTACAAGTTGTACATGATAATGATCTAAATGTGTATCTGTAAGGCCACAGAAGGCGGTCAGAGTGTGATTAAAGTTCAGTATTGTATGACTGCCGGTTGGATCTCATGACGGTACCTGGGATACTCAATGGTCGACGTCATCAACAGGAAGTACCGGATACCGTCGTCGTGCCACATTTGTATATCATCCCCTTGTCAGCCGTCCGATATTAAACACACCTCACACCGCACATTTGCAGAACAACGCCATCTGAACATGCAAGGAGTGACCCGATATCAACATCATCGAGCAGCTTTGGGACTATCTTGGAACCCAAATTCGAGTTGGACATGCTCCTGTTCAAAATCTACAGGAATTGATGCTTGGAATTCGGCGCTTAGTTGCCAGTATGGAGAGTAGAATGGCTGGTGTTATCCGTGCGTGGGGTGGCTATACACCTGGTTCTGATACGGTCGCTAGTGGTCGTTCATACAATCCCCACAATCATTATTAGGAAACTGTGTGACAGTCAGATTGGTGGCGTAGCCATAATGACCATATTTACATTTTTTGTGTATTCCTCTAAGATAACAAGTAAATTGTTACCAAATGTCAATTTCAGTTTGGTTTGATTTAATCTGAGTAAAATATGTTTCAGTTTCTATTTTAATACGTGGATTTACCAGAATGTAATGTGTTCGTACTTATCATGATGCAGTTGGTGGTGCTTGGTGAATGCTCAGGTGTTTATTTGTAACCCCAACTTGGCTGAAAGGTTTTACCTAGGATCATTCAAAATATGATTCCTAAAATTCTCTGAAATCACGCTAGTCGAGACCCTTCAGTCTTTTCATGTGCGTATGGACATGCAAGCGTCAAAACCAAACCGCCTAATTCTAAACCATTTGGAAACGTTCTTAACAAACCTTCGTTATATTATCTCTAAGCTAAACACAATTTCACGTCTTCTCATAACAATTTTTACGTTTTACTCTTATTTGAAATAATATAGGTCGAGTGGGAACGAAGGGTCCCTTTTAATATAATAATATAATAAGGCCACTTATATAGCGCAGAACTCCACGCCACAAGGACATGCTCTAAGCCCATACAACATGCTTGACAATATTTCCCTGGATAATCCAAGCACCCAGGTTTCCTGTGAGGCGTTAGAAGGTTAATAGTTATATGACTTATCCCACCTGGTACCCATTTTCTTGTGGGTGAGGCACTTTTGAAGAAACACACATGCCTAAGGTGAGACCACAATGTGTGTTGTGGGACAGAACAGACGTCGGAGAAGCACTCAGAAGGCAAGCTGCCAAAGACGGCCACCCATCCAAGGATGACCCGTGACCAACGCTGCTTAACTTCAGCTGATTTGTGGTCTGAGCTCAAGACCACACAAAACCAACCATTAGGTATACGCCATATGTAGAACAATTGTTCAGGAACACATCAAAGGGCACTAATACATGAAATCACCAAGTGACAGGACACACTGACTCACCGACGGCACCGAGGACAAAGAGGGATGCAAGAGCGAGGAAAAAGATAGCCTTCATGTTGAAATCTGAAGTGCTCTGCAGATCTTGAGGAGGCACCTTTATAGTGTTGTGGCGTGGTATCTGAGTAAGTCAGCCCATCCCTTCTCGCTCAACATACCTGGGTCGAGATTGGCTACTCTACATTTTCAACTGACCTAACTAAGAAGACCTTTTGAATAGTTGAAGTTAACATTCTCCGAAACTTTTTCTGGTTGGAAGAGATTAGATTTTAATGTTTAAAGGCAAACCAAACATGAATCTTTCTTTCCAAATTAAAGATCGCCCTTTAACAAATTGCAGCATTAATGTTTTCGAAGATTAAAAGATTTGCTGATGTAGCGAGTGTTTTTGCTGTGAAGATGTCTTTTATACAAGATTACAGTATTTATATTTAAGCTAGTGGGACCAGAAGGTACTGACGTGAGAAGAGAATGAATGTACAGTTGTTTGCCCTCAGATGATGTCTGGTGTAGAGTACTGGTGGGGCCAGTTCTGCTTCAGTGTGTAGTCAAGCAGTGAGTAGTGAATGGGAAAGCTTCACAGGACTAAGGGTGCTTCAGGGACCAACTGTGCTTGATCAGGTAATCATTCCTGTAACAGTGTAAGATTGTACACTTGCAGTACAGGGCGGGAAGGGAGGCTTGTAACAGCGTAAGATTGTACACTTGCAGTACAGGGCAGGAAGGGAGGCTTGTAACAGTGTAAGATTGTACACTTGCAGTACAGGGTGGGAAGGGAGGCTTGTAACAGTGTAAGATTGTACACTTGCAGTACAGGGTGGGAAGGGAGGCTTGTAACAGGATTGTACACTTGCAAGGGAGGCTTGTAACAGTGTAAGATTGTACACTTGCAGTACAGGGCGGGAAGGGAGGCTTGTAACAGTGTAAGATTGTACACTTGCAGTACACTTGTAACAGTACAAGATTGTACACTTGCAGTACAGGGGGAGGCTTGTAACAGTGGGATGGTACACTTGCAGTACAGGGTGGGAAGGGAGGCTTGTAACAGCGTAAGATTGTACACTTGCAGTACAGGGTGGGAAGGGAGGCTTGTAACAGCGTAACAGATTGTACACTTGCAGTACAGGGTGGGAAGGGAGGCTTGTAACAGTGTAAGATTGTACACTTGCAGTACAGGGTGGGAAGGGAGGCTTGTAACAGTGTAAGATTGTACACTTGCAGTACAGGGTGGGAAGGGAGGCTTGTAACAGCGTAAGATTGTACACTTGCAGTACAGGGTGGGAAGGGAGGCTTGTAACACTTGTAACAGTGTAAGATTGTACACTTGCAGTACAGGGTGGGAAGGGAGGCTTGTAACAGTGTAAGATTGTACACTTGCAGTACAGGGTGGGAAGGGAGGCTTGTAACAGTGTAAGATTGTACACTTGCAGTACAGGGTGGGAAGGGAGGCTTGTAACAGTGTAAGATTGTACACTTGCAGTACAGGGTGGGAAGGGAGGCTTGTAACAGTGTAAGATTGTACACTTGCAGTACAGGGTGGGAAGGGAGGCTTGTAACAGTGTAAGATTGTACACTTGCAGTACAGGGTGGGAAGGGAGGCTTGTAACAGTGTAAGATTGTACACTTGCAGTACAGGGTGGGAAGGGAGGCTTGTAACAGTGTAAGATTGTACACTTGCAGTACAGGGTGGGAAGGGAGGCTTGTAACAGCGTAAGATTGTACACTTGCAGTACAGGGTGGGAAGGGAGGCTTGTAACAGCGTAAGATTGTACACTTGCAGTACAGGGCGGGAAGGGAGGCTTGTAACAGTGTAAGATTGTACACTTGCAGTACAGGGCGGGAAGGGAGGCTTGTAACAGTGTAAGATTGTACACTTGCAGTACAGGGTGGGAGGGATGCATCAGACATAGACAGTCTTTCTCAGATCGGGGATAGTGTTAAGTTGAATTTAGGTGGAATACTGACTGTCAGATAGTTGCTTGTCTCTCTTGTGTGAAGGTGGTCGAGGAACATATTGAGGGAAGGGACAAGTGGTGACTCCCCAGTACCTCACAACACACCCCTGTCACTGTAGTGAAGTTGTGAGCTAATATGTCCTGAATGTTCAGCTGTCAGTGGACATGGCAAGTGTGACTGACCACGGATCATTGAGAAGATGTTAATGATAGCTCACCTTTCATCTGAATGTTTGTAGGGGACCAGAAATGATATTTAGCATATCAGAACATACATGCCAAATACAGATATTTTTACATTTCTGTTAGTTCCATGTTTGACAAAACCAGTAAGTTTGCCTTTGTCTGAGTATCTTCCAAACAGTGATGTTATTTTAGCTTTAAGCATGGATCCATGCAGTGCACAAGTTGTTGACCAGACTTTCTACACATGTTGTCATGTTGTTATACTTTGTATACATTGATGTCAATACCAATATGCAATATGTTTGATTCAGTGATATATGATATGACAATGTTTCCATATCATACAATGTTGCACTGTTATTACTGAGTGTAGGTGATAACTCCCAATACACAGAGCATATGGTGAGACACTCGTGCCATATTGTCTTGTAAATCATCAGGTCTAGTGATACTTCATCGCAAACTTAATATGTTAATTAACCAAGATAGTTATTCCTTTTCCTTCACGCTAAGCGATATGATGTATTTTTTGACTGAGCACTAAACACAATAAAGCAGTTTGCCTAGAGCTTCTACCTACGAATGGGGTGGGTGCATTATACTCAGGTGCGCTCTATACACAGGAAAATATGGTACATGTCTGGCCAGCTGGTTGTGGCAGTATGAGCTAAATGTACATTGTAAATCCATTCCATTACCAGAGACACAAGAATGACAATGTTATGTGCCTGTCATGACGCCTACATTAAAGCATGTTCAACTTGACCTGATTCAGAGAATACCAATGCATTGCGTGACCGTGTCTATTAGTGTGAAGGGGTGCACCTTTGTCAGTTGATTGTCAGCATGTCCGAACAGGTCGCTGTTTGACATCTCAGTGTTGAGAAATCGTCAGCAATGTCCTAACTTTCTTTAAAAAAAGTGTTGTTTTCCGGGACAAGTTCCGTAACGAATTCCATTCATGCATGGAACATTAATAACATTCTCTGCTCCCCTATTTAATGAAGATAGCCCAACCTGCCGTTTGTGCCATTTGACCTCCTTGGTCATGCATATGTAGAGTAGCTCAGGTCAAGCTGAACAAGCTGTACCTATCTATGTCAACCCCCATGACAGAATGAACACAGTGGTGAATGTAGGTCACAGTGGAGAATGTAGGTCACCTCTTTAGTTGATTACTATTGCTTAATGAATAGGGTAAGAAAGTTGTTGGTGTTGTGATTTATACTCTCAGTGGAGCTGGGCAAGAATGTGAAATTACACTGATCTGGGACAGGAGCCAAGATGTCAGATACAAGTTCCTCAAAAGAAAGACCGAACCATCATTTTCGTTTACCAGATTATGCAAACTTCAGGGCAGTGTAATTCACCAGTCTGCAATAAGGGACCTAGGCACCATTCTCACAAAGCAATCTAAGATTTAGGATGATTTAAACTCATGCTTTCACATAGACTTATTCTAGTTGTAGATTGCTTTGTGAGCCGTTCCACAACGTGATCTTAGTGCTACAGTGTTCATAAGCCAGTGTCCAAGAATGGGCGTTAAGGTCACCTTAGCACTAAGGTCCCTGGAACTTCGAAGCAGTGGGTGATAATGTGAACATGTTCACCCCAATAAACGACACAGACCCAGTCAGGCAACCGTGCCACAGCTACGTCTCTGTCATAGAGAAGTGTGTACTGCAGCCGAGACAGAGCGTTTATGACTAGTCACAACCTTTCTGAGGAATTTGTTTCAACTCTTCACCAGGATACATATACAGAGGTGATGTGAAATTAGGAAACCTTTTAGAGGTGTTGCATGAGATGTTGCATTTATTGTGTGACCTTCACATGTTTCATGTGATGGATGACCTTCACATGTATTGTGTGACCTTCATATGATTCATGTGTCAGATGACCTTCACATGTATTGAGTGACCTTCATATGATTCATGTGTCAGATGACCTTCACATGTATTGAGTGACCTTCATATGATTCATGTGTCAGGATGACCTTCACATGTATTGAGTGACCTTCATATGATTCATGTGTCAGATGACCTTCACATGTATTGAGTGACCTTTTTTTGATTCATGTGTCAGATGATCTTCTCATGTATGGAGTGACCTTCATATGATTCATGTGTCAGATGACCTTCTCATGTATTGAGTGACCTTCATATGATTCATGTGTAGGATGATCTTCACATGTGTATGATGACCTTCACATGTGTAGAGTGACCTTCATATGATTCATGTGTCAGATGACCTTCGCATGTGTAGAGTGACCTTTTTATGTTTCATGTGTAGGATGACCTTCACATGTATTGAGTGACCTTCATATGATTCATGTGTAGGATGGCCTTCACATGTGTCATGAGTATGAAATGTTCCAGTCAATATATAAAGCTAACTCTGATATGAGTAGATTATTTAGGAGCCTTGAATGTTGTTGCCCATAATCTTTCCTCTGGCAGAGATGCCACAGTCACCAGTCTTCACAGGATAGCTACCACTATTGGTGGTCCTGTATTAAAGCGTTGGCTCGTCACGCCGAAGGCAAGCTTTATGACAATTGTTAAGCTTTCTGAAAATTCATTCAGGAGGAAAAACTGTATTTTTCACATTCACCTGTTTTTAGAAATATGTTTAAGGTCATCATCATCAACTGAACCTGTGACAAGTGCAGATGTACCCAATTGAGAACATGGCTTCATCTATAAACCTAATTATCTACGTTCATGTTGCAACCAACATCTCAAGCTTCCCAATTAAAATCACACATGCATAGACTCACTATCACCAACTTATTGTTTAATTTTGTTGCCAACAAATTGCTATTACTAGATGCAGCTGTGACTCTGCCAATGATTGGTCTGGCATCTCTGGCCATTATTATTTAACTATGCATATATCTATATATGTTGCTTGTTATAGTTAGTGAGATATTTATTTTTGTCCCAGTGTTACCATGTTGATCTGTGCTGACTGTAGTGCTTGGTGGAGTGTCTCCTTGCATGTGTACATATACACAGTAGTACCTTTCATGTTACCTTGACAGGTACGGAATATCAATACAAAATTACCAGATCTCAATACATAGAAAAGACGAAATTGGTTATTGTCCTTTGAATATTTTCAGCCCCCTTTTAACACTCTCAATGGATATGAGGGATTACCATGTATATAGCTTAAAATCTGCAATATTTTAGCTTTTTCACTGTGATTGTTGTTAATAATTGTATATAGGGATACATTTCTAGATGGCGACAATATCACCAGCTTCAAAGTGACAGTTCAATGCATTGTCTGATCAGCTACAGTGTAACAGTTTCAATGAATTGTCCTGTTGGCTACAGTGTGACAGTTTCAATGCATTGTCATGTTGGCTACAGTGTGACAGTTCAATGCATTGTCTGATCAGCTACAGTGTAACAGTTTCAATGCATTGTCCTGTTGGTTACAGTTTGACAGTTTCAATGCATTGTCCCATCAGCTACAGTTTGACAGTTTCAATGCATTGTCCCATCAGCTACAGTTTGACAGTTCAGTGCATTGTCCTGTTGGCTACAGTGTGACAGTTCAATGCATTGTCTGATCAGCTACAGTGTAACAGTTTCAATGAATTGTCCTGTTGGTTACAGTTTGACAGTTTCAATGCATTGTCCTGTTGGCTACAGTTTGACAGTTCAATGCAATTGTCCTGTTTGTAACAGTGTGACAGTTCAATGCATTGTCCCATCAGTTACAGTGTGACAGTTCAGTGCATTTTCCCATCAGCTACAATTTGACAGTTCAATGCATTGTCCTGTTGGCTACAGTTTGACAGTTTCAATGCATTGTCTGATCAGCTACAGTTTGACAGTTTCAATGCATTGTCCTGTCAGCTACAGTTTCAATGCATTGTCCCATTAGCTAGTTTGACACAGTTTCAATGCATTGTCTGATCAGCTACAGTTTGACAGTTTCAATGCATTGTCTGATCAGCTACAGTTTGACAGTTTCAATGCATTGTCCCATCAGCTACAGTTTGACAGTTTCAATGCATTGTCTGATCAGCTACAGTTTGACAGTCATTGTCCCATCAGCTACAGTTTGACAGTTTCAATGCATTGTCCCATCAGCTACAGTTTGACAGTTTCAATGCATTGTCCCATCAGCTACAGTTTGACAGTTTGATCAGCAGTTTGACAGTGCATTGTCCCATCAGCTACAGTTTGACAGTTTCAATGCATTGTCCCATCAGCTTGACAGTTTCAATGCATTGTCCGATCAGCTACAGTTTGACAGTTTCAATGCATTGTCCCATCAGCTACAGTTTGACAGTTTCAATGCATTGTCCCATCAGCTACAGTTTGACAGTTTCAATGCATTGTCCCATCAGCTACAGTTTGACAGTTTCAATGCATTGTCCCATCAGCTACAGTTTGACAGTTTCAATGCATTGTCCCATCAGCTACAGTTTGACAGTTCAATGCATTGTCCCATCAGCTACAGTGTGACAGCTTAATGCATTGTCCCATCAGCTACAGTTTGACAGTTTGCATTGTCCCATCAGCTACAGTTTGACAGTTTCTGTCCCATAAGCTACAGTTTGACAGTTTCAATGCATTGTCTGATCAGCAACAGTGTGACAGTATACTAGTCAAATGCATTGTTGATCAAGTTCACTGTGGCAGTCTACTCCAGGCCAGTTCGAGTTTCTAAGTAATGTAAGCAGTCACATAAGTATCACCAAATCAAACGTGCTTGTTTGTTTCAATGCCAGGCTTGTTGTTGGAGCAGTACTTGACTTTCATTTTGGTTTGTTTCTGAAGCTGTATTTTGCTTCAAAATCTATTTTATTTTGGAGAATACTTTTTATACCACTGATGACTGTTATATTATTTTAGGTCATTCTTTACCATGTGAGAAATCAAAACATCATTGCTGAGTGCCAGTGTTGCAGTTCTAATCTGGTGCGTGTGAAGCTCCATAGTGAAGTTCCTTGTCACTGTAGATAGATTCTGATATGTTGATGCAATAAGTTGTATGATGTGACAAATGTTAGGGCTTGGATGCAGTGTTCTCAAAATATGGTGCAGGTTGGACTTAGTAAACAGCAGCTATCATAACAACCCAGTTTTTGTTGCTGTATCTGAAATGTATTAAAGGGGCACTACTCCCTGTCATACCCTTCTTACTCTCTCTGCATTGTCCGGTTCCTGCAAGATGGTATATGGACGTATATCCGACACGCCACGTTCCACTGTGCTAATCAGACAGTATATACATGTGAAGGCTTATACAGTATAATGTGTGTATTGTGTGATTCTGAGAGTGAGTGAAATCATTTGCTAAATGATAAATATTGCTATTATTATTATTATGATTATTACTCTTGATCTTGACACAAACTGTCTCAAGCAGGGAGTGGCACTGATCAGGCAGTTCTGAGCTGCATGCTGTCGACTCAGATTCGGTTAATCTATCAATCTCGTTATTTTGATTTTCATCTTGACCAATGTGTTGTATATTTTATACTAGCTGAATGTTGTGGCTATATAATATATACCAGGAAACATTTTAGTTAACCAGAATAAACATGCTGGACAAATACAAATTTCAGTTGTTTTCTCTTCATTCTCAGGGAACATTTCTGTCACATTGCTTTGAGGCTCCATAATTTACTATAAAGAGTTACTTCCCTTAGCCACATGAGAATGCATGGGCTCAAATAAAATAATTAGACATGCATTGTCTGATCAGCTACAGTGTGACCAGAGACCATATATTAATCTATTATATGGTCTCTGGTGTGACAGTCAAATGCATTGTTGATCAAGTTCACTGTGGCAGTCTACTCCAGGCCAGTTAGAGTTTCTAAGTAATGTAAGCAGTCAAATAATTATCACCAAATCAAACGTGCTTGTTTGTTTCAATCCCAGGCTTGTTGTTGGAGCAGTACTTGACTTTCATTTTGGTTTGTTTCTGAAGCTGTATTTTGCATCAAAATCTATCAACTGTACATGTGCTTGGGCTTTTCATCAAAGCAGTAAATGTGTTATGCTTCAGGCACTCCTGCCTCATGGCTGTGACACACTCAGGGGCGTACCCAGGAAAGTAATGAAGTGTAGGCACACACACACACACACACATATTACGTATTTAAGCAAAGACAAAATAGCTATTTCAGCAAAAGTCGTTATTCTATTTGGCCATAAAATGTTATGTACCAGCTGATGTACGTTTCGTCAAAATATTAGAAAAAAGCATATAAAGGGAGACTACTCTCGAACAAAATAGATCCATAACATCCCACATGTGAAACAAATTACCGAAAGCATTAAGTGCAGGCGACCGCCTCCGTGGTGTAATGGTTAGAGCGGAAGGTCGCGAGTTCGATCCCCGACCGCGTCATACCAAAAGACGTTAAAATATGGTACTTGTTGGTCCCTGCCTGGCTCTCGGCATTAAAGGGTACAACAAGGACTGGTCGGCTCAGAGTCAGTATAATGTGTCTGAGTGGGGGTATTCATGCTTCACTGCGGCATGGTATCTCAGTGGGCTAGCACTATAAAACCAGCTTAAGTCTGGGCTAGTACAAGCAGTCGCACATACAGATACACACGCATGCACGTCGTCATATGAGCGAAATATTCTCAAGCACGACGTAAAACCCAATTCCACCCATTAAGTGCAGGCACGTGCCTAAAGTGCCCAATGCCAGGTACGCTACTGACACTGTCATGTGAGGGAAATACACATGGTAGTAAATCAAACTCACTCAGTCTCTAGTGTAATAGGGGCGGTGGGGTAGCCGAGTGGTTAAAGCGTTCCCTTGTTATGAAGAAGACCCGGGTTCAATTCCCCACGTGGGTACAATGTCTGAAGCCCATTTATGGTGTCCCCCGGTTGATATTGAAGGAATGTTGCTAAAAGTGGCGTAAAACTAAACTCACTCACTCACTCTAGTGAAATACCAGTGTTTGACGATGGTCAGGTAGCCTTGTTGGTTATACTTGTGTGAACGAATCCATTTATAATTCGCAATATAGTAGAATTGTAATCCAGGTCGTATAGTGAGATCCTATGTCATTACATATTGGTACCCCTGAATATCCTGGATAGATTTGATCTTCATATACCCATGTTTCCATGTTTGTCATGAAGGTCAATTTGAGGTTTTATTACACTTTCTTTGTGCAAGTAAGGTTAAATCTCATTACATATTAGTCATGTAGAGCTGTCTAAGGCGCACGCTCGTAAGCGAAAGGAGCCTGGATCGATCCCCACTTGTGACTGGGTGTAAAAACCTTGGTGCTAACATTACTTGTCTCAACCCCTAGTCTGCAGTACACAACCCTGAGCACTTAAAAGAACACACTCATCCGATGGTAGGTGACCATATGGTGGACACACGAACACGTGCAGACACGGAGATACCTAGTTATTGGTATAGTAACGTGCAGTATCATTGGACAAAATACTGTGTATTACCCAGCAGCAAATGGGTACCTTGTGAGGATGAGGCAATGTGATAACTCGCTGCATGAGTTGAATACTCCCCAGGGAGTTGAGTTGGCTAAAAAGCAAGGGAAGACTCCAGCGCCTTGGACATGTACTAGTTGCATGGGTATGTCACTATGTTCGCTATATGCTGATCCTTTGCAAGACATGCTTCTGGTAAAAGGCTACTAACGGGATCGGATGGTCAGGCTCGCTGACTTAATTGACACAACTCCCCTGTTTTGGACATCTTACTGACACCCTTAGTTTGTCATGCAACACGACATCGCCTGAGCTCGCCACACACAAGTCAGTCCTAACTTCTATCAGCACAGAATCCGAAAACATGACAGGGTGCCGCATGCGTCGTAGGCCGCCACCGACCACGTTAGTGGAACTCGGCCAAGCACTGCAAGAGGAGTGAGACAGATTTCCTCACATCGCCAAGAGGGGACGCATGCGCAGTATGACTCACTGTGTGAATGAATACTTGACAAATCTTGGCGCTGTCAAGCACATCAACTTGCAACTTCCCATCTGGGCCCAAACGCCTCGTTGGCGGTCACAATATCTAATGTCAGACTTACTTGCCGATGGTAGTGTTGTCTAATCCGTACTCTGACATTATGCAACTGTAATTGGAAACCTATATCAGTCAGTACAGAGTAAATATAGTTTGTTGTTTAGATTGGGAGCCGACCCGATTGTTGAAATTGCGCATCCATGCAAATGGCATGCCGTCTTTGGCTGCTTGTTTCAGTTTGGGTCATTTTCAGTTTCACCTGTCATTTTTGTGTCTTAAGTTATTTCCTCTTTTTATGGATAATTGTCTTAAATGCATAATTTGTGATCAAGTATTCCATAAAATATTCAAGTCAGCGAATTTGCTTTGTTGAGTACACGTGCACCTATGACCTTTATGTTCTTCATGACTGCATGTTTAACCAATAACACACTCGGTGCAATGCACCTGTAACGCACCTGTATCCCGTGAAATGCACATGTAAACATTAGGACACTTATGTGTCACACTTATAAAAACGTGTCATAGAAGTAAGAGTCCATGTATTTATATAAGAAACTTTATTCTTTATAAATTCGTTTAACAAGCATTCACGTTGTCTACCGGCACCTCCAGAGAGAGTGTCCCTGAAAACAGAAAGAGATTGAAATAGACTTATCTCAAGTTAAGCGTGATAGCTTGGCATTACACTGCCATCGACTGATGATGTTAAGATCCATGCCAAAGTCGGATGTCGGGATGGTACCTGGTTCTAGTCTGACGGTATGACGATAACTGGTTCTAGTCTGACGGTATGGCGATACCTAGCTCTAGTCTGTCGGTATGACGATACCTGGTTCTAGTCTGAAGGGTATGACGATACCTGATTCTAGTCTGACGATACCTGATTCTAGTCTGACGGTATGACGAAACATGGTTCTGGACTGATGATACCTGGTTCTAATTTGATGATATCACGATACCTGGTTCTAGTCTGATGGTATGACGAAACATGGTTCTGGACTGATGATACCTGGTTCTAATTTGATGGTATAACGATACCTGGTTCTAGTTTGACGATATGGCGATACATGGTTCTAGTCTGATGGTATGACGATACCTGGTTCTAGTCTGATGGTATGACGATACCTGGTTCTAATTTGATGATATCACGATACCTGGTTCTAGTCTGATGGTATGACGAAACATGGTTCTGGACTGATGATACCTGGTTCTAATTTGATGGTATAACGATACCTGGTTCTAGTTTGACGATATGGCGATACATGGTTCTAGTCTGATGTTATGATGATACCTGGTTCTAGTCTGATGGTATGACGATACCTGGTTCTAGTCTGATGGTATGGCGATACCTGGTTCTAGTCTGATGATATCACGATACCTGGTTCTAGTCTGACAATACATGGTTCAAGTCTGATGATATGGCGATACATGGTTCTAGTCTGACGATATGACGAAATGTTCTGGACTGATGATATCTGGTTCTAGTCTGATGGTATAACGATACCTGGTTCTAGTTTGACGATATGGCGATACATGGTTCTAGTCTGATGTTATGATGATACCTGGTCTGATGGTATGACGAAACATGGTTCTGGACTGATGATACCTGGTTCTAATTTGATGGTATAACGATACCTGGTTCTAGTCTGACGGTATGACGATACCTGGTTCTAGTCTGACGGTATGACGATACCTGGTTCTATTCTGATGGTATGACGATACCTGGTTCTAGTCTGACGGTATGACGATACCTGGTTTTAGTCTGACGGTATGACGATACCTTGCTCTAGTCTGACGGTATGGCGATGCATGGTTCTAGTCTGACGATGCATGGTTATAGTCTGACGATACCTTGCTCTAGTCTGACGGTATGACGATACATGGTTCTAGTCTGACGGTATGAAGATACCTGGCTCTAGTCTGACGGTATGGCGATGGATGGTTCTAGTCTGACGATACCTGGTTCTCGTCTGATGGTATGACGATACCTGGTTCTAGTCTGACGGTATGACGATGCATGGTTGTAGTCTGACGGTCTGGCGATGCATGGTTCTAGTCTGACGATGCATGGTTCTAGTCTGATGGTATGGCGATACCTGGTTCTAGTCTGACGGTATGACGACGCATGATTCTAGTCCAATGGTATTGCGATACATGGTTCCAGTCTGACTGTCTGACGATGCATGGTTCTAGTCTAATGGTATGGCGATACATGGTTCTAGTCTGACGATGCATGGTTCTATGACGGTCTGACCATGCATGGTTCTAGTCTGACGGTATGACGACGCATAGTTCTAGTCTGACGATACCTGGTTTTAGTCTGATGGTATGACGATACCTTGCTCTAGTCTGACGGTATGGCGATGCATGGTTCTTGTCTGACGATGCGTCGTTCTAGTCTGACGATACCTGGTTCTAGTCTGATGGTATGACGATGCATGGTTCTAGTCTGACGGTCTGACCATGCATGGTTTTAGTCTGACGATGCATGGTTCTAGTCTGACGGTCTGACGATACATGGTTCTAGTCTGACGATGCATGGTTCTAGTCTGACGATCTGACGATGCATGGTTCTAGTCTGACGATGCATGGTTCTAGTCTGACGATGCATGGTTCTAGTCTGACGATGCATGGTTCTAGTCTGACGATGCATGGTTCTAGTCTGACGATGCATGGTTCTAGTCTGACGATGCATGGTTCTAATCTGACGATGCATGGTTCTAGTCTGACGATGCATGGTTCTAGTCTGACGGTCTGACGATGCATGGTTCTAGTCTGACGATGCATGGTTCTAGTCTGACGGTCTGACGATGCATGGTTCTAGTCTGACGATGCATGGTTCTAGTCTGACGATACATGGTTCTAGTCTGACGATGCATGGTTCTAGTCTGACGATACCTGGTTCTAGTCTGATGATATGGCGATGCATGGTTCTAGTCTGAAAATGCATGGTTCTAGTATTATTCGTTATTCGCAGCGTTTGGCAGTGGTGAGAAGTAAGCATACCAAGGCTTTCCATCCTAGTTGGTATCACATTGGCAGTGCCCGAAGAGGCCATTGGTAATACATTTGGGGGTACCATTGCATCCGGGGCACTCAACGCCGCAGCTCTTGTTGTCGACACACACAGTGACGGGGCCACACCCAGACTGGGCTTCTGAAACCGACAGCAGTTGACCTAAGGGGTCACACAAATGATCAACACTCCCTCTTATTCCAGCCCTGCCTGCTCAATCACGGCCGACACTGTTTGTATTCAATAAATATCTTAATAAAATAAACGAATACGTGTGTTGCTACAGCAACGGACACGCAGGCATTTCTATAAATGTTTCGCTTGCTTTAAAAGACAAATAATTAAATCTTGACCTTTCGAAGCTTGCATAAATAACTTAATAGGTTAAGAAAGGATAGGTTAGGTCTTAAAAGTCTTTTAGATTACTTGCAGAAATCTTGGAAATATTGTTAAAATAATTACAAATCAATTACACCTAATTAACTATTTTAATTTCCATGATGAGTGGAAAAGGATGAATTTATCTATACTAAAAGGGAAACATATACACATGAGGATTAATTAAGCACCACCTGAATACAAGGGCAACATTATATATTTTTGTTCAAACAGGAGATGATACACTCGGATATTGTATCTTAAATACTATTGGTAGCATGTTCAGGTGATGCAAAGGAGTCAAGCACCATGGGGTAAACATTTCATAACTGCGGTGCGTGCACAATAGGTTTTTAACTGATTCAAAGGACGACAGATCTTATTAACTTTACATAATATGGCAAGACATGACCATTTTTAGATGGTAAATAATACTGCTCCTGGAATTGTTATGAAAGAATATATTTCTTAGACCATCGGTATATTTTCAGGTATTTACGTAAAACTTATTGACACTGTTTAAGACACGGGTACTTTCTCAGAAAGTTAATTAACCGGGCCAATAACGCCAATATATAAACAAACACTTGACCCAAATTTACCAGATTATTATAGACATATTACACTTTTTAGTAGTTTTGGAATAGCTATTTTAACCAATCGCCCCACAAAATTCTTAGACTCTATTACAATATTATATGAAGCACAAGCCAGAAAAAGGCTATTCTTCAATGGATCACATGGGGTAAACAACGAAAAAGGCACTGGATTACGATCTGATGAATTTAACAAACGATTTGATTATATGATGAATGTATTTGTTTTGTTATATGCCGACGACACTGATATACTAGCATTAAATCCAAATGATTGACAACACATGCTTTGACAAATATTGTAAAACATGGAAACTTGATATAAATGTATCTTTCCAAAACAGATATATTTGGTGGTTCCAGAAACGATTACAAATACTGTTTCAAAATTGGAAATCCTTTTACAGAAAAAGTATCTTCTTATAAATACCTAGGAATTACTATATAAAGAAATATCATATTTGCTTTAAATGAAAAGAATTTAGCTGACAAGACAACCAAAGCTAAGTATTTTGTTTTAAGCAAAGGTATAGATTACCCAATTTGTCTTGTGAGCGTAAGTTTATGCGATTGATTGGTTGTTCCTGTCGTTCTTTATGGGTGTGAATTATGGAGTTTCGGTAACAAGACTTAGTCTCAGGCAGAAATGATCTATTTACGATTTCTTAAGGAACTTCTCTCGTTAATAAATATTATTGTTTTTCTAAGTTTTCTCTCCTGATGTAAACAATACTCTATAGTGACAGTATGAAACATCTAGCCGTAAATGGATTGCTTGAGTACTGTTGACGAAAATGGAATGTTAGAGCCACACAGGTATGATATAAGTTTTTGTCTTTAAATTTTTAAAATTCAAATAATTTCCTTCAGTTGAAAAATGACGATGGAATAAAAACTTCCACAAGAGGTTATACTCTCCTTTTAATTCAAGCGATATCGGGGATGAATTGAACTTTTATTTTCATGAAAATAATAACGCACGAGTGAAATATTCTTCATTTAATTGGATAAATGTATGTACACGTATAAGATATTCTTGCAACCAGTCCGCCATGATATTGCTGGAATATTGCTAAAAGCAGCGTAAAACCCAACTCAATCACTCACTCTTGCAACCAATAGGTATGTATATATGACCATGTTATGTATCTTACATGTATGTAACATGTACAAGTTGTACATGATAATGATCTAAATGTGTATCTGTAAGGCCACAGAAGGCGGTCAGAGTGTGATTAAAGTTCAGTATTGTATGACTGCCGGTTGGATCTCATGACGGTACCTGGGATACTCAATGGTCGACGTCATCAACAGGAAGTACCGGATACCGTCGTCGTGCCACATTTGTATATCATCCCCTTGTCAGCAGTCCGATATTAAACACACCTCACATCGCACATTTGCAGAACAACGCCATTCGAACATGCAAGGAGTGACCCGATATCAACATCATCGAACAGCTTTGGGACTATCTTGGAACCCAAATTCGAGTTGGACATGCTCCTGTTCAAAATCTACAGGAATTGATGCTTGGAATTCGGCGCTTTGTTGCCAGTATGGAGAGTAGAATGGCTGGTGTTATCCGTGCGTGGGGTGGCTATACACCTGGTTCTGATACGGTCGCTAGTGGTCGTTCATACAATCCCCACAATCATTATTAGGAAACTGTGTGACAGTCAGATTGGTGGCGTAGCCATAATGACCATATTTACGTTTTTTGTGTATTCCTCTAAGATAACAAGTAAATTGTTACCAAATGTCAATTTCAGTTTGGTTTGATTTAATCTGAGTAAAATATGTTTCAGTTTCTATTTTAATACGTGGATTTACCAGAATGTAATGTGTTCGTACTTATCATGATGCAGTTGGTGGTGCTTGGTGAATGCTCAGGTGTTTATTTGTAACCCCAGCTTGGCTGAAAGGTTTTACCTAGGATCATTCAAAATATGATTCCTAAAATTCTCTGAAATCACGCTAGTCGAGACCCTTCAGTCTTTTCATTTGCGTATGGACATGCAAGCGTCAAAACCAAACCGCCTAATTCTAAACCATTTGGAAACGTTCTTAACAAACCTTCGTTATATTATCTCTAAGCTAAACACAATTTCACCTCTTCTCATAACAATTTTTACGTTTTGCTCTTATTTGAAATAATATAGGTCGAGTGGGAACGAAGGGTCCCTTTTAATATAATAATATAATAAGGCCACTTATATAGCGCAGAACTCCACGCCACAAGGACATGCTCTAAGCCCATACAACATGCTGGACAATATTTCCCTGGATAATCCAAGCACCCAGGTCTCCTGTGAGGCGTTAGAAGGTTAATAGTTATATGACTTATCCCACCTGGTACCCATTTTCTTGTGGGTGAGGCACTTTTGAAGAAACACGCATGCCTAAGGTGAGACCACAATGTGTATTGTGGGACAGAACAGACGTCGGAGAAGCACTCAGAAGGCAAGCTGCCAAAGACGGCCACCCATCCAAGGATGCCCCGTGACCAACGCTGCTTAAGTTCAGCTGATTTGTGGTCTGAGCTCAAGACCACACAAAACCAACCATTAGGTATACGCCATATGTAGAACAATTGTTCAGGAACACATCAAAGGGCACTAATACATGAAATCACCAAGTGACAGGACACACTGACTCACCGACGGCACCGAGGACAAAGAGGGATGCAAGAGCGAGGAAAAAGATGGCCTTCATGTTGAAATCTGAAGTGCTCTGCAGATCTTGAGGAGGCACCTTTATAGTGTTGTGGCGTGGTATCTGAGTAAGTCAGCCTATCCCTTCTCGCCCAACATACTTGGGTCGAGATTGGCTACTCTACATTTTCAACTGACCTAACTAAGAAGACCTTTTGAATAGTTGAAGTTAACATTCTCCGAAACTTTTTCTGGTTGGAAGAGATTAGATTTTAATGTTTAAAGGCAAACCAAACATGAATCTTTCTTTCCAAATTAAAGATCGCCCTTTAACAAATTGCAGCATTAATGTTTTCAAAGATTACAAGATTTGCTGGTAGCGAGTGTTCAACACATACATTATAATGAGCAAGAGTTTGTACTGGACGGTCTCCCATAATCTGACCCTTCTGTACTTCCTGAACTGTATGCGCAACGCATAAGACACTCGGTGCAATGCACGTGTAACCCATCTGCACTGCACGTGTAGACATAAGGACACTTACGTTTCAGACGTAGGAACATTATCATAGAAGTACGAGTACACGTATTTATAACAGCGAATTTATTCTCAATAAATTAGGTTCACAAATATTCACGTTGTCTACCGGCACCACCAGAGAGATTGTCCCTGAAAACAGAAATATATGTTAACAGGAGCGTGGTAACGTGACATGACACAGCCCTGGTCTGATGATGTTACATGGTTCTAGTCTCATGACATGATGATACATGGTTCTAGTCTCATGACATGATGATACATGGTTCTAGTCTCATGACATGATGATACATGGTTCTAATCTCATGACATGATGATACATGGTTCTAGTCTCATGACATGACACTATATGGTTCTTGTCTCATGACACGATGATACATGGTTCTAGTCTCATGACACGATGATACATGGTTCTAGTCTCATGACACGATGTTACATGGTTCTAGTCTCATGACATGATGATACATGGTTCTAGTCTCATGACATGATGATACATGGTTCTAGTCTCATGACATGATGTTACATGGTTCTAGTCTCATGACATGATGATACATGGTTCTAGTCTCATGACATGATGATACATGGTTCTAGTCTCATGACATGATGATGATATGATGGTTCTAGTCTCATGACATGATGATACATGGTTCTAGTCTCATGACATGATGATACATGGTTCTAGTCTCATGACATGATGATACATGGTTCTAGTCTCATGACATGACGATATATGGTTCTAGTCTCATGACATGATGATACATGGTTCTAGTCTCATGACATGATGATACATGGTTCTAGTCTCATGACATGATGATACATGGTTCTAGTCTCATGACATGATGATACATGGTTCTAGTCTCATGACATGATGATACATGGTTCTAGTCTCATGACATGATGATACATGGTTCTAGTCTCATGACATGATGATACATGGTTCTAGTCTCATGACATGATGATACATGGTTCTAGTCTCATGACATGATGATACATGGTTCTAGTCTCATGACATGACATGATGATACATGGTTCTAGTCTCATGACATGATGTTACATGTGCGTGATAGTCTCATGACATGATGATACATGGTTCTAGTCTCATGACATGATGATACATGGTTCTAGTCTCATGACATGATGATACATGGTTCTAGTCTCATGACATGATGATACATGGTTCTAGTCTCATGACATGATGATACATGGTTCTAGTCTCATGACATGATGATACATGGTTCTAGTCTCATGACATGATGATACATGGTTCTAGTCTCATGACATGATGATACATGGTTCTAGTCTCATGACATGATGATACATGGTTCTAGTCTCATGACATGATGATACATGGTTCTAGTCTCATGACATGATGTTACATGGTTCTAGTCTCATGACATGATGATACATGGTTCTAGTCTCATGACATGACACTATATGGTTCTAGTCTCATGACATGATGATACATGGTTCTAGTCTCATGACATGATGATACATGGTTCTAGTCTCAGTCATCATGACATGATGATACATGGTTCTAGTCTCATGACATGACGATATATGGTTCTAGTCTCATGACATGATGATACATGGTTCTAGTCTCATGACATGATGATACATGGTTCTAGTCTCATGACATGATGATACATGGTTCTAGTCTCATGACATGATGATACATGGTTCTAGTCTCATGACATGATGATACATGGTTCTAGTCTCATGACATGATGATACATGGTTCTAGTCTAGACATGATGACATGGTTCTAGTCTCATGACATGATGATAAATGGTTCTAGTCTCATGACATGATGATACATGGTTCTAGTCTCATGACATGATGATACATGGTTCTAGTCTCATGACATGTTGATACATGGTTCTAGTCTCGAGTGAGTGAGTGAGTGAGAGAGAGAAAATATTGCTTATTCGTTATTCGCACGATCGGCAGTAGTGAGAAGTCAGCATACCAAGGCTTTCCATCCTAGCTGCTATTACATTCGCAGTGGCCGAGGAAGCCATTGTGAACACATTTGGGGGTACCATTGCATCCGGGGCACTCAAGGGAGCAGATCCTGTCCTCGACACACACAGTGATTGGGCCACACCCAGTCTGGGCTTCTGAAACCGACAGCAGTTGACGTAAAGGGACACAGCGATACTCATTGTAAAGAGGATATAATAATGTAATGTGGAATTTATCTTCTAGTTCAGTCACACAGGAACTACAAAACGCAGTTTCATAGTTTTGGGAGTATCTATACGAATTAACATTAAAATCATGTACATTGCAACGAAGTTTTGTCAAACATCTCCGTAAATCTAATATGGGTTTTTTATATCCATGTTGATTCTCTGTCTGACTCCTTTGCTAAATCCTTCTGTGACATCTTTCAGTCTCCTACAGCACGTGTCTGGTCCAACTCATCGATCAGGTCATACACTAGAACTAGTCATAACTAGTCATATGATATTCTGGATGTCGTTGATGTTAGTTACAAACAGATATCTGATCATTCACTTATTCAGTGCTCTGTCACACTTACTAAAACTCAGCAAGAGAGAAATGAAATTAGCTACAGGAAGACTTGAAATATAGATATTAGACATTTTCCAATGACATTGAATCTTCTGAGCTGCTGCAGTCACTCTCTGATTCTTGTGGAGTTGATGATAAGACTGGTGTGTTAACTACTTGCTTATCACGAATATTGGATAAGCATGCTCCCCTGAAGTCTAGTTTTGTTGTCATTCGTGCTTGTTCTGTTGCCATATATTCTTTGTTAAACAGTCTCTTGAAGCGGGATACAAATTGTACTCTAGCCAACAGATTTGCCGTTTTCTTCCACGCCAAGATATGGGATATACGCCAAGAACTTGATATTAGACTACTCTGCAGAATCTGGTTTTCAATGAGTAATGTTTCAGTAGTACATATTTGTCTGAACTTTTCTTAACTTAAGTAAGACATGTTATATACAAAGCTAAAGCAGCTTTTACCCTGAAAGCCATACCAACATGGCTATTTAAAGCAAGCTTTGCTTCTCTCATCAGTCCATTATCCAACTTAAGGATGCCACGGTTCCCAAAGTTTTCAAACAGGCAGTCGTCACTCCTCTCATTGAAAAGGCCAATTTAAATCCGGAGTTAAAAAAACTACCGGCCAGTATCTAATCTGTATCTCATTTCAAAATGTTTGGAGAAAATTGTTTCACCAAGGCTTGGAAGAACACCTACTCAATAACAACCTGTTTTAACCCTTCCAGAGTGCTTACAAATCAAAACATAGCACAGAGACTGCGCATGATCGTGTCCATAACGACGTCATGAGGGCAGTGGACCAGCACCCTGCTGGTCCTTCCTGATTTATCATCAGCCTTCGACATCCTAGACCACACGATACTGCTTTCTCACTTGGAGGAAAGACTCAGTGTTAAAGGAAAGGCTCTTTCTTGGATCAAATCCTATCTGTCCGCTAGAACAGGTTGTCAAGATTGGCGAGGTTACCTCACTTCCGACAGCAGTTAACGTTGGTGTTTCGCAGAGTTCAGTTCTGGGGCCTTTGCTTTTCAGCATATCTATCCTTCCAGTAGGTGATATAATCAGGAAACCCAGTTTGATGTTTGATCTCTATGCTGACAACAATCAGATCTACATATCGATAAAGCCATCTGAATGCACCTACTGGAATCAGTCAAATTGAAACCTGTGTGAGCAAAGTTGGATCATGGATGACTGTGAATTTTCTCAAATTAAATGACAGTAAAACAGAATTTCTACTACTTGGTTCTAAACAGAAGTTTTTGAAAGTGCCTGCATTTCTCTCGCTTAACATTGGCTACATCAGTGTCGGAACAACTCCATCTGCAAAAAATCTTGGAATCATATTTCAATCCAGCATGTCCCTTGAAAAAGTCAAGAACTTAGGCAAAACTTGCCTCTTCCACATTCACAACATCAGTCAAATCCGCCATCGTCTTGACAATAAAACGACAAAACGTCTTATGCAGACCCTCATCACATCACGACTGGATTATTGTAACTCCCTTTTCTTCCACATTCCTTTATCTCTGATCAAAAAGTTACAGCAAATCCAGAATGCAGCAGCAAGGGTTGCAACGCGCACGCCACAAACTGGGCATATATCGCCTATCCCGAATGCCCTCCAATGGCTGCCCGTGAATTTCATGATTCAGTACAAGATATTTCTTCTAGTCCAAAACTGTGTCTACAATCAATCATCATGTCACTATCTCAGAAGCCTTGTCAGGATATACCAACCTACCCGTTCTGTCGACCATCTTCGCCTATCAGACCCATCAGACCCTATCTCCCGTACAAATTACCACTGAGCAACCTGTATGGAGCGAGTGAGTGAGTTTTGTTTTACGCCGCACTCAGCAATATTCCAGCTATATGGCGGCGGTCTGTAAATAATCGAAACTGGAGCAAACAATCCAGTGATCAACAGCATGAGCATCGATCTGCACAATTGGGAACCGATGACATGTGTCAAACCAAGTCAGCGAGCCTGACCACCTGATCCTGTTAGCCGCCTCTTACGACAAGCATGGGTTACTGAAGGTTCATTCTAACCCGGACCTTCACGGGTCAGCCTGTATGGATGGAGGAAGTTAGGCGCTATAGAAATATATCATTATTATGTTTTTCAGATTATAAATAATATGTAGCAGAGAGGGTGATCCTGGCACCGTCAGGCTGGTAAGGCTCATTATCAGCTCAGGGCCCTTGACCATTCTACATGCAGCCAAGACAGCGAATGAAACGCTGCCTAGTCGAACCCACCAAGACCTTTCTGGAGAATATGTAGACTTCCCGCTCCCGGTTGAGAACCCGGGCATTCTCCTGATCTGCGCCAAGAGATCAGGAGGAGCCAAACCAAGGGCACCGAGAATAATGGGGAGGCTGATGACAGTATAGTTGGGATGCAAGCGAGACATTTCAATGCCGAGTTCCGCATATTTAGCATGCTTTTCGTGAATCTTGCCAATCACATTGCTGTCAAAAGGGACAGTAAATTCAATAGCATAAATAAATTCATTGGTTTTATTGTCTATCAATGTAGTTTATGTGAATATATTGATTTTAACGATGATCCGGCCAATGTTCCCATATGGGAACATTTAACTTCAATTCAAAATTTGAATTTGCTACCATGATAAAATTTCTTTTGCCATTTTGCCAAGTATGATTTTGAAATGTTAGAACAATGGCAATTGTCTTGAGATCAATATGGTCCAAAAGCATTAATTTATCTTCACGCATAAAAAAGTTACAAAGCCTTTTATGACATGTTCCGACATGGGAACATTGGCATGACAAAGGTTAATAGCAGCTCTTAAACTATCTTCACTTCCGTCTAAAAAAGTTGGGTGTCATCTGCAAACTGACCTAGTTTATTTTCTGTACCAGTAAGAGTGATACCGTTAATATCAGGATTTTGACGAATCATATTACCTACTATTTCAGCCACTAAAAGAAATAAGTAAGGTGAGAGAGGATCACATTGTCGACAGCCCCTTTCATTTTGAGAGAAAAAGAAATATGCCCATTTTGTATTACCCAAGAGGTGGAGTTTTGGGTGAGTATTTTCAGCCATGTTATCATCTTGGGTCCAAAGCCAAAGTTTTCCAATACCTGTATGACAAATCTCTTGGATACCGTATCGAAGGCTTTTTCGAAATCAATTAAGGGCAATAGACCAGGCATGTTAGATAAGTTCGCTTCAAAAGAACATCATATAGAACATATCAATTATATCAACACGAGTTGATAAAGTTACAAATATCCGAGGCTTGCCTAGGATATTTTACTTTATCAACGAGTGTTTATTTTATATCAGAAGACACGAGGGTGTATTTATCATCCAAAATCACTTTCATTAATTTTCAATGAAAAAATGTACATCTCTGAACATGATATTGCCATTACACTTGCAGTGCAGTGATGTCATAACATTGTGACGTCATCAAGTACATCGTCATAGCATTATCAATTGTACAAAATCTACTGTCAAAACGATATCTCCTAGGAGATATCGTTTGATCTCACACAAGCGATATCTCCTTGTTTTGATGATAAAAGTTAATACTCCCAAATGTTTCTTTTACATATCTGAAATCCAGGATTTTAGATCGGTCCAGAAGAATTTAAAGAATTCAATAGAAAATCCGTCAATGCCAGGTTATTTTTCATTGTTTTGATTGCTTTGGTAATTTCTCGAGATCGAGGAACGGCGTTACATTGATGCCCTGGAACCGATCTGTAATATATATTTACATTTTCAATTGATTTACGTTTATTCCATCCCCAAAGCTCAGCTCCATATAAAAGTATAGGCTCAATCTTGACATCAAAAGCTTGAATGTTTCCTCGATTTATAATTTTGTTAATGAAGAGTTTAATTGGGTAAAGTGCCTTTTCTGCATGTTGGGAAAGTGTCTCACATGCTTTTGAAAACATGTTTCTGCAGGAGAATACAATGCCAAAATATTTATTATGAGATGTAGTTTCAATCAGTACTGTCTGTATTCAATATGTGTTGTAGTATAGCCAACGAAAACATGTGTTGCTACACCAACAGACACACAGGCATTTCTATCCATGGTTTGCTTGCTTTAAAAGACAAATAATTTGACGGTTTTGAAGCAGTCATGAAGAACGTGTTAAAGGAAAGGATAAGTTAGGGTACCGTCTGAAAAGTCGTTCTGATATGTGGAAGAAAACTGGGAAATAGTGGTATAAAACAGTTCAAAAATGGATCACATCTTCTCCTCGGATGAATACCTATATAAGAATGTTCCAAATGAGTTGGCACCAAAAAGCTTGATTAATGCACATGTGCATATTTATAACCCTATATTCTAAATACGTGCTTCAGTTGTCTGGATGTACATTGCCTTGGGAATTCAACATGGCTGAGATATGTTGCCTATAAATATTTTTTTACAAAAACACGACTCCTTCCTAAGAATCTCAAAAATCACCCTAGTCCAGACACTTTAGTCTTTCTTATGCCCATAACATGCAAGTGTTAAAACAAACCGCCTACTGCTAATCCTAAAACATCTGGAAACTTTATTCATAAACCTTTGTTATGCACGTGCAATAGTCATGACAATTGTGAAGTTAAACTAACCCCATTTCACCCCAACGGGAGGACCATTTCAAGATCTTATGTTATGGCTAGTTGTTGTCTGCAGGCATCAAATGAGTGGGGTAGAAAATCAAGATATTCTCCAAGTTAAACCCCATTTCATAACAAATTTACGCTTTACTCTATTTTGAAATAATGCATGTCGTGTGAGAGAAACGATTTCTTCCACATTCCTTTATCTCTGATCAAAAAGTTACAGCAAATCCAGAATGCAGCAGCAGAGGGTTGCAACGCGCACGCCACAAACTGGAGCATATATCGCCTATCCCGAATGCCCTCAATGGCTGCCCGTGAATTTCATGATTCAGTCCAAGATATTTCTTCCAGTCCAAAACTGTGTCTACAATCAATCATCATGTCACTATCTCAGAAGCCTTGTCAGGATATACCAACCTACCCGTTCTGTCGACCATCTTCGCCTATCAGGACCCATCAGACCCTATCTCCCGTACAAATTACCACTGAGCAACCTGTATGGAGCGAGTGAGGTGAGTTTTGTTTTACGCCGCACTCAGCAATATTCCAGCTATATGGCGGCGGTCTGTAAATAATCGAAACTGGAGCAAACAATCCAGTGATCAACAGCATGAGCATCGATCTGCACAATTGGGAACCGATGACATGTGTCAAACCAAGTCAGCGAGCCTGACCACCTGATCCTGTTAGCCGCCTCTTACGACAAGCATGGGTTACTGAAGGTTCATTCTAACCCGGACCTTCACGGGGTCAACCTGTATGGATGGAGGAAGTTAGGCGCTATAAATATATATCATTATTATGTTTTTCAGATTATAAATAATATGTAGCAGAGAGGGTGATCCTGGCACCGTCAGGCTGGTAAGGCTCATTATCAGCTCAGGGCCCTTGACCATTCTACATGCAGCCAAGACAGCGAATGAAACGCTGCCTAGTCGAACCCACCAAGACCTTTCTGGAGAATATGTAGACTTCTGCTCCCCGGTTGAGAACCCGGCATTCTCCTGATCTGCGCCAAGAGATCAGGAGGATCAAACCAAGGGCACCGAGAATAATGGGGAGGCTGATGACAGTATAGATGGGATGCAAGCGAGACATTTACATGCCGAGTTCCGCATATTTAGCATGCTTTTCGTGAATCTTGCCAATCACATTGCTGTCAAAAGGGACAGTAAATTCAATAACATAAATAAATTTATTGGTTTTACTGTCTGTTAATGCAGTTTATGTGAATATATTGATTTTAACGATGATCCTGCCAATGTTCCCATATGGGAACATTTAACTTCAATTCAAAATTTGAATTTGCTACCATGATAAAATTTCTTTTGCCATTTTGCCAAGTATGATTTTGAAATGTTAGAACAATGGCAATTGTCTTGAGATCAATATGGTCCAAAAGCATTAATTTATCTTCACGCATAAAAAAGTTACAAAGCCTTTTATGACATGTTCCGACATGGGAACATTAACATGACAAAGGTTAATAGCAGCTCTTAAGCTATCTTCACTTCCGTCTAAAAAAAGTTGGGTGTCATCTGCAAACTGACCTAGTTTATTTTCTGTACCAGTAAGAGTGATACCGTTAATATCAGGATTTTGACGAATCATATTACCTACTATTTCAGCCACTAAAAGAAATAAGTAAGGTGAGAGAGGATCACATTGTCGACAGCCCCTTTCATTTTGAGAGAAAAAGAAATATGCCCATTTTGTATTACCCAAGAGGTGGAGTTTTGGGTGAGTATTTTCAGCCATGTTATCATCTTGGGTCCAAAGCCAAAGTTTTCCAATACCTGTATGACAAATCTCTTGGATACCGTATCGAAGGCTTTTTCGAAATCAATTAAGGGCAATAGACCAGGCATGTTAGATAAGTTCGCTTCAAAAAGAACATCATATAGAGAATCTCACCCAAGTGTCTTCTGATATCAATTATATCAACACGAGTTGATAAAGTTACAAATATCCGAGGCTTGCCTAGGATATTTTTACTTTATCAACGAGTGTTGATATATTTGATATCAGAAGACACGAGGGTGAGATTCTATTTATCATCCAAAATCACTCTTCATTAATTTTCAATGAAAAATGTACATCTCTGAACATGATATTGCCATTACACTTGCAGTGCAGTGATGTCATAACATTGTGACGTCATCAAGTACATGACGTCATAGCATTGTCAGGGCATTGTACAAAATCTACTGTCAAAACGATATCTCCTAGGAGATATCGTTTGATCTCACACAAGCGATATCTCCTGTGGAACACAGTTTTGGATGATAAAAGTTAATACTCCCTTTTCAAATGTTTCTTTTACATATCTGTAAATCCAGAATTTTAGATCGGTCCAGAAGAATTTAAAGAATTCAATAGAAAATCCGTCAATGCCAGGTTATTTTTCATTGTTTTGATTGCTTTGGTCAATTTCTCGAGATCGAGGAACGGCGTTACTTGATGCCCTGGAACCGATCTGTAATATATATTTACAAAAACTTGAATGAACCTTTTCAATTGATTTACGTTTATTCCATCCCCAAAGCTCAGCTCCATATAAAAGTATAGGCTCAATCTTGACATCAAATAGCTTGAATGTTTCCTCGATTGGCAGATTTATAATTTTGTTAATGAAGCGTTTAATTGGGTAAAGTGCCTTTTCTGCTTGTTGGGAAAGTGTCTCACATGCTCTTGAAAACATGTTTCCGCAGGAGAATACAATGCCAAGATATTTATTATGAGATGTAGTTTCAATCAGTACTGTCTGTATTCAATATGTGTTGTAGTATAGCCAGCGAAAACACGTGTTGCTACACCATAAGACACACAGGCATTTCTATCCATGGTTTGCTTGCTTTAAAAGACAAATAATTTGACGTTTTGAAGCATTCATGAAGAACGTGTTAAAGGAAAGGATAAGTTAGGGTACCGTCTGAAAAGTCGTTCTGATATGTGGAAGAAAACTGGGAAATAGTGGTATAAAACAGTTCAAATGGATCAAACCTTCTCCTCGGATGAATACCTATATAAGAATGTTCCAAATGAGTTGGCACCAAAAAGCTTGATTAATGCACATGAGGATATTTATAACCCTATATTCTAAATACTTGCTTCAATTGTCTGGATGTACATTGCCTTGGGAAGTCAACATGGCTGAGATATGTTGCCTATAAATATTTTTTCTCAAAAACACGACTCCTTCCTAAAAATCTCAAAAGTCACCCTATTCCAGACGCTTTAGTCTTTCTTATGCCCATAACATGCAAGTGTTAAAACAAACCGCCTACTACTAAATCCTAAAACATCTGGAAACTTTATTCATAAACCTTTGTTATGCACGTGCAATAGTCATGACCATGGTGAAGTTAAACTAACCCCATTTCACCCCAACGGAAGGACCATTTCAAGATCTTATGTTATGGCTAGTCGTTGTCTGCAGGCATCAAATGAGTGGGGTAGAAAAATGTATTCGTCAGTGCAATAATCAAGATATACTCCAAGTTACACCCCATTTCATAACAAATTTACGCTTTACTCTATTTTGTAATAATGCATGTCGTGTGAGAACGAAACGACCTTACTAATACCTTATGTTATGGCTTAATCGTTGTCTGGAGGTATCGAATATGTGCTATAGAAAATGGTTATAAAGACTGTTAATTTTCCATTAAGCATGCACCATGTATACAACAATTCAGGAACACATCAAAGGGTAACTGATACATGAAATCACCAAGTGAGAGGACACACTGACTCACCGACGGCACCGAGGACGAAGAGGGATGCAAGAGCGAGGAAAAAGATAGCCTTCATGTTGAAAGTTGAAAGTGCTCAGCTGATCTAGAGGAGACATTTTTATAGTGTTGTGGTGTGGTATCTGAGTAAGTCAGCCCATCCCTTCTCACTCAACACACCTGGGTCGAGATTGGCTACTCTATATTTTCAACTGACCTTAGTCGTTGAACTTCACCGAAATTATCTCTGGAGTAGACTACAACGATTAAAGGCAACACAAACATAAATCTTTCTTTCCAAAGTTAAGATCGCACTGTTTACAAATAACAGCATTAATGTTTTCGAAGATTAAACAGTTTTGCTGATTTAAAGAGTGTTCAAGTGGCTACGACATATGTATCATTGTAATGACAGGTGGTTGCCCTTCTGTCCTAGAGCACAGACATACACTCACATTCAAATTGTAATAATTAACTGTTGTTGTTCTAGTGGGTACGCCAGTGATACCGACATATATATTGTAAAAATTAGCAATGGCTGATCTTGAGGGTACGCCAGTGGTACCGACATTTATATTGTAATAATTAGCAATGGCTGATCTTGAGGGTACGCCAGTGGTACCGACATTTATATTGTAATAATTAGCAATGGCTGATCTTGAGGGTACGCCAGTGGTACCGACATTTATATTGTAATAATTAGCAATGGCTGATCTTGAGGGGTACGCCAGTGGTACCGACATTTATATTGTAATAATTAGCAATGGCTGATCTTGAGGGTACGCCAGTGTACCGACATTTATATTGTAATAATTAGCATGGCTGATCTTGAGGGTACGCCAGTTAAGTACCGACATTTATATTGTAATAATTACAAGATCTTGAGTAGTGTGTATATATACACACGGAAAAAAGCATCGCAACACCTCAAGTATTAATATGTTACCATTAATCATAGTAAGTTAACTTATCCAAACCTCAATTTTTCCAGTTATCTGGATGAACTGACCTCAACGAATTACAAAATGGCAAAGTTAAAAGCACAAAGAACGACAAACTGTCGATATCGATTTAGTAGAGCTGATAACTATGGTCCTATGCCGTTAACATTTGCGGTCATTTTCAAGATTCTGGCACACAATCTTCAGCGAATCACATAGGTATCAATACCCGAGCACGTTGACTACGGCTGAAATACTAACCGCCAAGCGAGTGGTTCGCCATGATAACCATCTCAAGGGAACCGAGTCAGGAGGAAACCGTTCTTTATCGAACCGAATCATGAGCTTAAGGTTGTTATTTCGCATAAACCACAAGGTCAAAAACATACTTATTTTAGTTGAATTATTATTAACTGCAATGTGAAGATGTAATAATAAAATTTTAAAACATTGAATGGTTCTGCATTTATTTATTGAAGATGTTCCCAATAAATATATTGAGGTAGAGGCATAGGGTTGTCAAACCCGATCAGCCAAGGGAAAAGTTCTTCTCGAGGTGCTATTCCCGGTATCGCACTGAGAGTTAACCTGGAGGGGTCTCCTCATAGTGTAGGGAAATTTTGTTCATAATTACTGAAGCAATCAGGCATGTCAAATAGCAAAACAAAGGGATTACTGGGGACCGTATCAGTATAAACCTGTGACACAAAGTTAAAACTTTTATTTTTCAATACAGTACCATACTCAATAGTACTTATTGTACTTCAGCTACCAGACTGGGTTTCCTGGAAATGCACAGAGAAGGGTTTTTTAATTCATCACGTTCCTGTCCAGGGAGCAGACCAACACTGAGCACAAGTTGGTGCAATATGCCGGATGCCAGACAACCCACGAAGAAGAAGAAATACCGAGACCTGGAACGTCGTCTTCAAGAACTGAGACACCAGTTTCAAAATGGAATGTTTACTGATTCAGAGTCTCATCTTTAATAAATTACGTTTTTAATAAATTTATAAGGTACTTGTATAAATGTGTATGTATAATTTAAATATGTCGTAATATTTTGTAAAATTACGTAATATTTTATAATATAACTATTTATAATTCCTGTAAAATGGTGCATGTTGTAACATGGTTAAATAAAATCTGTCTACAGAGTCTCTCGTTACCATTCGTGGTTTACGCCTTCTATATTTTTTATGTGCTTTATATTTTAATGTATATATGTTACAGTGAATATGTCAAATCAGTGATTTTGTAGAATCACTGAAAATTTCAGAGATTTTATAAAATTCCTGATTCACTCGGTGGTTTCACAAAATCCCTGGAATTCCTAGGCATTTAACAAAATCCCCGAAAATCACGGCACTGTTTTTACATATACCCTGAAATGAATATATCGCATTCTCGGTGTTTGTTTTGACAATACTCTCTTGTAAATATTGCATGTGTGGCTTACCAGTTGTTAGATATTTTTCTGTTCACTGGGGCACCTGCTATTCTACAAAGTGACAATGTATTTGAGCTCACAGCCAAGATCATTGATGAACTTTCCTATTTTGTGCCTGATCTCGCCATTATCCATGGTAAGCCCGGTTATCCTCAATCTCAAGGTTCTGTTGACCGTGCAAATTGTTATGTGAAGGATATGCTTACTGCCTGGTTAGCTGAACACAGGACAACGGGTTGGAGGACCATGGGCTTGAAGTTCGTCCAGTTCCAGAAGAACTCCAGTTATCACAGTGGCATCAAGATGACACCCTTCGCTGCTTTCACTGGCTCTGATGCCTCCGTTGGTCTCAACTCGTCCAGTCTCCCAACAGGGGTTGTTTCTAGACTTCGAAGCGAGGATGACCTACTCAACGCCCTGCCGTCAGATACAGTACATTTGGCAGATCAACAACGAGAATCAGATCATCTTGAGCAAGAGCAATCGAGAGCCGCAAGAGCACAACAAGAGCCACAAGCACAACGAGAGCCGCAACCAGAGCCACAACCAGAACCAGCAGAGCCGCAACCAGAACAAGAGCCACAACCAGAACAAGAGCCACAACCAGAACAAGAGCCACAACCAGAACCAGAGCCGCAACCAGAACCAGAGCCGCAACCAGAACAAGAGCGGCAACCAAAACAAGAGCCGCAACCAGAACACTCTCCATCAACTGACCTTGTTGCTGAGAGACATAAAGGCATCAGTGAACACAAGAAGACGGTAGCAGATTCTTCAAGCAGAGAGATGGTGAAACGGAGCAAGACTGTTCTCTCTGAGGTTGCAGTGGGTGCCAATGTGACAATACCAATTCCTGGTGCTGACAGAGGGGGGGCCGATCCAAAGAATTTGATAGGAGTTGTTGTGGACATTACTGACAACGGCATGTAAACACTTGCTATAAAAGCCGGTGTCTTGTGTGGAGAGTATTCACACAACCAGTTTGATGTGTGTGCCACAATTACAGATATGTCGACTAAGAAACTTGTATCGCTGAGATCTGCCGTCCAGTCAGAGTCTGTATGTGGCTGACAGGGTTTTGTGAAATGTAACTGTAGTGGCACAAAAAGATGTCAGACACAAAGGTGCAAATGTTACAAGGCTCGGGTTATGTGTAACTCGCGATGTCACTCTTCCCTCTCTTGCAAAAACAAAACGGGTGACACACACACCACACCCCCTCACCCATTTAAAATCATCACACACACTCATTGCCATAAATCATGAACGGTCCCTAATGAGCTTGAATTGGGTTGTGAAATTGAGTTGACAGCATGAATTTGGGAATTTATCTGATTGTTCTTTAATAGTACCTTTGTTTTTTATACAACTATGGCAGGTGTGCGGACGTACAAGAGAGTAAATGAGGAACAAATGAAGATGGTCAGCAGCATTGTCACCAGTAAGAAGCCAAAAACCGAGGAAGTACGATGCAAAGCGGAACACAAAGCTTCAGCTCCAGAAGGTATGTTTTCTCACTTACGCGCACACACACACACACACACACACACTCTCTCTCTCTCTCTCTCTCTCTCTCTCTCTCTCTCTCTCTCTCTCTCTCTCTCTCTCTCAAAATATGGGAAGGGGGAGGGGGGTCACTTACTTTGTACGTACATGCTCGGAATGAAAGACGAACCTCCTCAACCCACGGTGAAACAGCTCAAACTCCGAGCGAAGGAACGTCAGCTCATAATATTCTTTATTCCTCCATAGGAGAGTACAATAACACGGACAGGAAGAAAACGTACATTAAGTAGGAGAGGTATTTAAAATGAAGAATACATTAGAGTCATTGGAGCAGCACTGGATGAGATGAGTTTGGTTTTAAGTCACTTTACGATAAGGTAAATCTGGTGTATTTACACAGTCTATACAATCCTTGAACGACCAGAGAAGAGTAGATGGTGTTGTCAGTGTCATCCAAAGGGACACATGGAGTGCATGATAAAAGACAGCATACCACATCCTCGTCAGGTTGGTTCACTCCCAGTTCTATTGGACCAATGCTTGAGATTTCAAGCCACACTTTATCTTGTTCACTCATCTTATCTGTACAATGACAGAGGGTATGGATGAGTAAGTCTTTGAAGCGTGACTGACACAGCTCACATATGCCTTGTGCACCTATGGGCGCCATGATGCACATAGCTTGACCACAAATTTGCATTGCTGTTTAAGATGTGGGAATTGTCGGGCAATGAACCAGGCTCTGTGTGGGACCAGCACAGGATGGATTTTCAAGAAATGTCTCATTTCAGGGTCAGCGTCGACACGTTGGTGCCATGCTACAGTTTCAGCATCAAAGATTGCATTTTTGACAATCTGCTTCCATCGTGTGTATTGGCAGAGACGTCCAGAGTAGTAGACTTCTTTCAGATAGTCACACAAGTTATACTTCGTTAGGATACGAAGTATGTCTGAGATGAATCCTCCTGGGTCAACCATACAGTTGTTTCTCAAGGCAAAGATTCGTGTCATAAGTAGCTTGTAGCTTGTATTCCTGGAAGAGGTGTGGCACAGCCTTCCGAAGAACAAGAGTTTGCTTTTGTTGATGTGGGCTTCTATGGGTAACTATCCTAGCAGAGCATTACACACGTCAGTCCTGGTTGTTTTGGGGAGATCTTGAATCACTTTAATGCAGAAACGTTGTGCTCTTTCAAG